GGGACTCTGAGAACATCCTCACTTTCTGGCATGATGAGAGGCAGCGGGCTCATGTCGAGGTTCTGTCCCAGGCCTGCCATCCGCCTTCTCCAGGAGCCCCCATTTAGAAGGGAGTGATGTTTTGAACTTCTAATTTGGGCACGAGAGAGGCTCATGCTTTTTAGGCCTTTTCCGCCAGCATGGTGGGAAAGATACTTTTCAATATGAAAGACCTCAGGAATACTGAGCTGTCCAGATCAATTCAGGACCACAAGGCCATTCAGCCTCTTCAGTCTGCGGCCTGTGTCTCCTTTCTCCCGCTCCACCTGGGGAGCTTTTAAAACTAGCAGTTCTGGAGGCGCCCCAAACCAATTAAAGGGGGGCCTCTAGGGAAGGGGCACAGGCAATCCCTGGGGGGGGGGGGTTCCAATGAAGAGCCAGGCTTTAAGACGCTTCAGTGGAGAAACCGCTGTGGAGTGCTCCCAGGGCGGGCAAGGAGCAGTGTTTCGTGGTCTGCCAGTTTGTGAGTGTTTGGCAGGGCGAGGAGCAGGCAGCATTTTCAAGAAGTGTGGCTATGGGGTGGGGGAGATGTGAGACAGTAACCTGCAGGGGGCAGGACCAAGACAGGGTAAAAAGAGAGAGAAGTGGGGGGCTGTGAGCATGTTTCTCAGTTGCTGAGAAGCCAGGAGGCAGGATGGACACAAAGCTGCAGGCGCGGGATGATAGGCTCCATGGGGCTGCACGGGGCTGATCTGGTCTGTGTGGGGGCTGAAAAGCATACTTTTCCTCCCACCTTCTAAGTGCTTCTAGCTGGACTAATACTCAAATTAACAGATGACCAGGAGAAAATCAAATTTTAATACACGTGCATGGGAAATTCACAGAAGCAGGAAAATTTCAGGCAGCAAGGCAACACTAGATATATGTGACATTTTGGACAAAGGAGAATGGGGGGTGGTTATTAGATTTCAGAAGTGAGAATGGGCGATTTACAGGTAGTTGAGGAAGATGGAACACACCTGGCAGGCAGATTCTTGCTGGGCGACCCAGAGACGATGGGACTCGGGTGGGATGGTCCACAGGCTCCTCTTGGAGTCCTCCTGTGTGTGACAAGGCGATTCCGCTAAGGTCCCTCCCTGAAGCAGGTTTTTCTGTCTGATTCTCTTGAACAGGAAGGCGTGGGGGAGCAAAGGTTCTTCCTGAGTCTTTTGTTTCTTAATAGCAAGCTTGAAAATCAGTATCCCAAAAGGCAGGGTTTGGGGGTGGGGGTGGCAATCTTTGGTTCCCTTCATCTGCAAACTTAAGGATCAGCTCTTATCAGCAAAAGCTTTTTCCTCACTGCTAGTCACACAGCGTCTGACGCACAGGAATCCTTACATGTTGACAATGACAAGACACAAAGGTAGAAACCAAAGAAAGATAGGACACCACAGCGATTCTCCAAGGGGGTCCTGTAGCTCAGAACTGTTTTTATGATAATACCTTTCCCAGGCTGTCTCCTGTGTGTCGGGGGAGAATTTTCCAGAGGCTTCCTAACAGACTGAAGGCAAAAGCCGATATGAGAACCCAGCTGCCTGCTATGAAACCAGGTAGAGATTTGCAAAAATGTGAAACAATGTCATTCTTCTCACTATTTTCTTTTGAAAAGTATCGTTTTCATTAACATGTTATGTGGCTGTGTCATGTGTGTTGGGAGCTGGCTGGGATCAGCCAGGGACACTGAGGCTTTCGGTTGGCAAGCTTGGTTCTCCAGGTAGATACAGGCCTGAGAGCGGGTCTCGTTCACACGTGTTTATTATTATTTTTAAATGAATTGTTACATCGTGTTACAGTTCCTGTTTTATTTCCTAATTTGGTAACCCTTGCTAGATACGATCCACGTAAACAAAGGTGCTTTGGGGTCCTCAATCTTAAGAGTATAAAGGGGTCCTGAGAACCGAAAGTGTGAGAACTGATGTCACAGGAAGTCGGAGCAAGCGGTCAGTCAGGGAACAACAACACGTTGATGACAATCTCTCTGGCCAAGGGCCACGGGTTCCTTGGGCTGGAGGTGAGACCCTTCCTCACCCTCAGGGCTGTGCTTAACGACAGGCTTGCTCTTTGCAAGGACGGAGGGCCTTGGGTTCCCTGAGTGTGTGGCTGAAATTGGAGGAGCTCACAGAGGATGGAGGGACAGGGAGAGGGCGGGGGAAGGGGAAGAGAAGGAGGGGGGATGGGAGGAGGGGAGAAGGAAAGGGGGGGAGAGGGGAAAAAAGGAGGCGGGGAGAGGGGATTAGTGGGAAGAGGAAACCCTGGGCTCAGAGAGAGAGAATGGGCAGTCTGAAGAAGATGGGGGGGTGTTGTGGGGGAGTGAGGGGTTCACCTCCCTGCCCTCTGCATTGCTCAGCAATGCGATGGGAAGTGGCTTTTTTTTCTTGCAAACGTGCTTCAAGGGTGAGAGGAAGGAAAACGGATGCTACCCCATGAGGACGGCCACATGTGATTTCCATTAGAACACCTGGACGGTAGAATTGTTTCCTAAATCCGCCAACACCACAGTTCTGAGTAGGGATCAAGAACTCGGAGACATTCATAAAAATAGAAACGACCCAGGGGCCAGCCGTCAGGTGCTATCACTTCGGCATGCTTTGTTTTCTGATGAGACAGCTCTGCCATCCATTTAAAACTGCAGAAGTTCTGGGTGACTGGACCTTGAATGCTTTAAGGGACCAGGTTACCCGCAAACCTGAACCCGCCCCCTTCAAACGAAAAGCTCCTGTGTGCTCACACTTAGATGGAGCAAGGAGTTTCCTGAAGGACAAACCTCAATTAGGCTTGATTTTTTAAAAAACCCCCCTTGTGGTTTTTAATTATTAGAGAGTAAATGTCTGTGATGTTGAACCTATCCATCACGTAGCCCCTATGTCAATGTCCTTAATGCATTCCATATGCTTTTTATAAGGTTACATTCTCCCGAGAGCTGTCTCAATGGCTTCTTGAACCCCTCAAGACTGAGCACTGAAGAGTATGAATAATCATTTTTTTTAAATTACACTTCCTCTACAACCTTGATTTTGAAATGTGAATATATGAATGTAATAGCCCTGGAATAAGCATGCAGATTTATGGAGAATATCCGTTTAGGCTGTATCAGGGGACCGACTAGGCCTTTCTTTGTGTGGCTGGGGATTTGTTAAAGTTGGGATCTAGTTTGGGGCAAATGTGATTTATAAAGTCATCTAAAAATCAATACAGCTGTAGCCCTCTGACAGACGGGTCCCTCACCGAGCCAGACCTGATTTTGAAATTGAGAAGAGAGGGATAAAGATCAAATCCTGAGTAGAGGTAGCTGGAAATTGCAGCGAGGAGCGAAGCTTTGCGCCAACCTCCCCACTGTTTGAAGACGGGCTTGTTTGTTTTTAAAAACGGCCAACATAATTCAGCTGGAGGACGCAGAAAGGTGGTTCTGCTCCACGTTTCAGTAGAAATCGATGGACTTGGCTTGTGTAAGAGTCCTCCCTGCGTTTAGTACCTAAAATAAAATAACTCTCGTTGCTTGAATTACTGAATGCATTTCTGCGGTCCCGGTGTCGATGGCTAGCTAAGCTAGTATTAATTAGATAATCCGCCGTCTGGAGCTGGCTTGCTGGGGGGAAGGGGGGAGGGTGCAGCGGTGCAGACTCGGAGCCCCGAATCTGGACGGGGACAGCAACTTGCTAGGTGGACTGAGGGCGTCCTGGGGGCGGTGAGGGGGCGGCTCCCAGCGCCCGATACCTGCGCTACTGACGAGCTTGGGGCGGACAAGCCCAGGGTCCAAAAGCCAGCTGCGGACATCACCCCCACCACCCCCACCCCCCAGCGGGAAACTGTGGGCTCAAGGGGAGAGTCGAGGCTCCGGCCGCAGCGACAGCAGCCGAGCCCCCCTCTCGGCCGCCCCCGGGAATCCTATGGAGACGTCTCCCAAGCTCTCGCGTCCTCGCCCGCCTCCCCCAGAGCGCGACTCTCCCAGCCTCCACTCAGCCCTCTTCAAAATCACTCTAAGGCCGACATGGGGATGAGAGGGGGGATGGGCAGGAACGGGGGGGGGCGGGGGGGGGGTTCAGCGCGCGGGACGTGCCCTGAGCAGCGGCCAGACTCGGGCGGGCTGCAGGGCCGCAGGGATGTGCTTGGCGCGGGGAGGCGCAGACTCGCTGACTCCTCGTGGTGCTCGGGGCTCTCCTGTGATTCCGGACTCTCCCCTCTGACCCCCCCGCCCCCGCGGGGCCAGGGGACCCCGGCGGGACCCCCTCGCACGCCGGCGCAGGAGGCGGTGCCGGCCCTCGCTGCCCCTTTAAGGGTTCCCGAAACTTTCCCCGCTGGTATCCGATGAGCCTCGTCACATCCGTTGGCCGCGGCCGCCGGGGCGCGTTCCGAGTTTCCCGGGGAAGAGGCGCGGCCCGAGGCCGGCGCGCGTGGGCAGGGCCGGCCGGGGTGCGCCGGGGCGGCC